ACCTGTTCAGCCTTCACAAGAGAAGGCTGAGGGGGGACCTTGTGACTGTCTATAAACTCACTAGGGGGGACCAGAAGGGTTTAGGGGTGACACTGTTTCCCCTAGCGCCCCCTGGCATGACAAGGAACAATGGACACAAATTATTAGAGAGTAGGTTTAGAGTAGACATCTGCAAGAACTACTTCACAGTTAGGGCGGCTAGGAGCTGGAACCAACTTTCTAGGGAAGTGGTGCTGGCTCCTACCCTGGGGATCTTTAAGAAGAGGCTTGATGACTACCTGGCAGGACTCATTTGAGTCCAGTCTTTTCTCCCGCCCAGGCGGGGGTCGAACTTGAAGATCTACAAGGTCCCTTCCGACCCTACTTCTATGATTCTATGATTCGACTCTAAATGAAATTCAGTACAAAACACTGTTCCATCCAGACCTCAAAACTGAAGTCAGAATAGAACGGTGCCATTTCACACAGCCCTCTTGATCATCCCACTGCTATACTTCCCCTCTGTCTTACTGTTCTTACTATTGACCATACATATCTACCCATCCTGGCTGTCCAGCGGGCAATTCCAAACCTATGGCCTAATGATACAGACACTATGCCAGGAAGTGGGAGTTGCAGACTTAAATCTGCTCTGGGTGAGGGAGGCCTAGAACCTGTATTTCCTACTCCCTTGGCAAGTGCTATAATGATTGAGCTAAATGGTGGGAGGCTGACATCTTCCTCCATTTTATTTCCAGGACATAAGTATGTACCTGCATGGTCCTGTTCTGCCATATATGAAAACAGAATCCAAACTGCATGTAAGTGCCCAATGTTGTAGTAAAGGGGTATGTAAATGCCTGTTATGGTGCCTGAAGGTGAAATAGGACATAGCAATTGGTGTCCAGATCCAAGACTTGACAATGGAAAATCAATATTATGGAGTACATCACTTGGGGACTCCTTGGCTGCAGGATGAGAAATGCTTTGACCTTGTTAAAGGTGGTTCCCAACCTATTTTGGCTTCCCTCTGAGGCTATGTTACCCAGTGGACATCCCTGCCATATTTCCTGTTACTATGTGCAGCTATAATTGCTATTGTCCCTAGGGGTGCACTGATAAAGATTTTTTGGGCCAATACTGATGGCTGATTTTTAATGAGTCATATCAGTTGATACTGATCCAATTCCGATATGCAGTTCAGTAGCATGGAGAGCATCCAGCTGGTAAGTCTGTTGTGAGGGAAGGGGTGAGGGGGGAGGGAAGGGATGTGGTGGGGGTGCAGATTGAGGCCCTTGCAATTGGGGAGGGAGTGGGGCTGGATCAGGTCAGGTGCTGCCCAGCCAGGGTGGGGCGGGGCATGGGATGGAGCCACAGCTCATCCTGGGGGCATGGGGTGGGAGGGGCAGCTCCTGCCACGGTGCTCACCCCAGGAGGGCATAGTGGGGTGTGTGCCCCAAATCAGTGCCCAGAGGTGAGTGTAAGGGTGGGTTGCCACTGTGGGTGGGGGCCGGGGCACTGCTGGGCTCTTTCTGGCCAGGGTCTGGGCTGGGCTGTGCTTGGGGCAGGCAGTGGGGGAGCTATGGGGGGGCTATGGCAAATTTTGGGGTGGCTGCGGACACCCACCCTCCCCTCTTAGCACCAGTGTTGCCACTCCAAGCGCAGCCCAGCCCCCCCACTGGGAAGCACCTGGCACAGGCCCCAGACCACAGTGGCAGCCTGCCCTGTCCCATGAGCAGATCCAGGGGCACTTGCCCCCCATGCCCTCCTGGGATGCGTGCAGTAGTGTGAGCAACCCCCCCACACACACACTCCCTGGATGAGCCTCAGCTCCATGTCCCTGCCCCACTCCCACTCCCTCTCTCACTGCGGGGGCCTCAATCTGCCGCCCCAGTTCCTTCTTTCTTCCCACCCCTTCCCCCACAACAGACTTACTAGCCAGACTTGGCTGCTCTCCATGCTGCCCGGCTGTGCTCATGGTTGCTTGCGTGCTGCACTGTGACTGCGCATACGTAGCATTTACCGGCCATGTTACTGGCCACATCAGATGAAAAAAAGCCAATTCTGATGCTCTCAATTTTCCCCATATTGGTGCCGATCCCATATGGGACTGATGTATCAGTGCATCTCTAACTCTTTCCCTTTCTGTTTCTCTTTGCTTCTTATTTTTTCTATTAATTTATAGCTTTTCCCCTCCTTATTCTTTCTCTCTCCTTACACCATTTTGCAGTTTTTCCTTCTTCCAAACCATTTTATTTTTCCTGTTCTCTGATAACTTTCTTTACCATGAAGACAGGGATAGATATGGCATTCATGTAACGCTGAATTGAGTGGTGAGAAGCATGGGCTGACAGACTTTTTAAGCTCAAAAATCCCTTTACTCTCTGTGTTCTTTCCAAGGCCAATTGTATTTAAACTACAATGGGATCAAGGTTGCAGGGGTGGGGGCTTTATTAACTACTTCAACATTTACCCACAGCAGCACAGAACATTTTCATTGTCAGGAGAAAGAGAATCTGGGCTTTTACAGTTTTCCCTAAGCCAGTGAACCAGTCAGATTCCTTGCAACCCAGGTGGGAGAATACCACAATAAGGATTGGCTTCCAATACCAAACAGCTTCTGTGGGCTAGCTTTGACAGAGATGACATTCAGCTTCATCTAACCAAGAGAAAGTTAATAGGAAATTAACATTTCTGGAATCCAAAATGATTATCTTATCTAATTCTAAATTCCAGTATTATTTTCAATATCCTTAAACCAAAGGACTATTTCAGAGAAATATGAATACATTTTAAATTTTTTTTATTTATGTCCAACATTTATGCTGTGGTACCTTTTGATCATTTTACAGCACCTGCACCCCATCTGGATTATTCTTTGTTAATATCTGAAAAGAGAGAAAGAATGCAAGGGAAAGGGAAAATGAGTGATGGGTTTCTTATACAAATATTAAAATAATATAATGTACTAAAAATGATTCCATTCTCTCATTTTGAGAGATTCTGTTAATTGGACAGAGATATCCTATGCTTAAAATTGAGAGATACTCTGGGACTGATAACATTTCTTCTGTAAAAAGAATTTAAGTGTTACCACTGTATTTCACTAGTATAAATTTTTCAACTGTAATTTCACATCACAAATTCTTAATTTGCACTTTCTTTTTCTATATTGCTGTGTTTCTTTTTAAGCATATTATTTTTTTTATGCCTGCTGACTCTTCATGAACCAAATCTTGAGAGACTGAATATCTCCTGTAATATTTCCTCAAACCTTTGACTCCCCAAGCTCTCATTACAATCAGTATCTGTATGTTGGTTTGTTCAAATGATGATCTTGGTTTTAGATGCGCACAGAATCCTAGAAAATTAGGGTTGGACGGGACCTCAGGAGTTCACCTAGTTCAACCAGGAGGTCATCTAGTCCAACCCCTTGCTCAAAGCAGGACCATCCCAAACTAG